ATGGATGGATGGATGGATGGATGGATGGATGGATGGATGGATGGATGATACTTAGTTATGCCTCTCTGAAAGTGCAGATGTTTCTGGTTGTTATGTATTGATGAGTCCAAGGGTCAAGGACCTTCATCATGATCTTGATCTGTAGAAAACATCTGAAACTCAGTCACTGAAAACTCAAAAATTTCTTATCCAAGTCAACTTGTTTTATTTTAATAGCCTCCAAAAGACAACAAATTGTAGATGTATATCCAACCACTATTTCTTGAGTTTAGTTTGTTTTGATAAAATCTATCCACTGGTTCATGAGCTATTTTACTAACAGACATGCAGCCAAATGAGCACAGAGACACAGACAATTGCATGACTTACCATCTATAAAAAAGACTTTACCAAGGTGGTATTTGTTATTTTCTAATAAAATGTGTTGCTAGTTTAGACAGATAAGCATGTACTGTACATTGCCAATCAGAAAAACAAAAATACTAACATGTGGGTAATGGTTTAGATAAACAAATAAATAGTTTAAACACATTTCTGGATATTTAGCAGCTTTTTATTTATTTAATGATGCAGGCAACACATTTTTTGTGTGTTATTGGTTGTTACACTGCCACCTTCTGGTAACACATCAGAGCCAAAACCCAGGTGATCAAAACACTTTATTTTTTAAATAATAAAATCATTTAAGGTTCGGCTCGCAAACATCTACAAACCTCATGTTACTTTTAAAATGTCAAACTATGTGCATTCTAATTGTTTACTACATAAGATTTTACAGTATACCAATATCATCTTGTCAAAGAAAAATATTAGACTTTTTAGTTTAAAACTTTCCATTTGCTTTTTTCTTTTCGCCACAGAGCAAATATTTAATTTAATTTCTATTTTTTATTGCTGCTTTTGAGTTGACAAAAATGCACTATCCCAGTTTGGTCCAGGGATTCAATAAATCTTTGCTGATGAAATGTAAAACACACAGACAGGTGTTGTTGTGTTGCAGGTGTGCAGTAATGAGCTGAAGTGTGTGTGTTACCTGGGCTGGGCAGGAGACGACTGCAGCTTCAGGTCTCCGTTCAGTAATCTTGTAGTGGGACCATCTTCCTCTGTTTCAGGTACAGATTTTTTTTTTTTTAAACTCCTGTTCAAACCTTTTTTTTAGATCCTGCTTGTTTTTCTTTCTCTCGCTCTTTAACATTCAGGACTCAACGCTCACATTCACCACTTCACACTCCTTCATTCAAGCCGTTCTTTTATCTCTCTCTCGTTTGAACAACCTTTTGCTTTGCACCTTTTTTTTTTGGATATATGTGTTGGAGCCGTGTCCACTCGTTTTTAGCCACTGAACCACGCACGTCATTCTTTTGGTTTGCCATTATTTTCACACTCATTCTTTGTCGACAGGCTGATCTCTTTGACGGATTGACTCGAGGTCAGAATTTGAGTTCCTTTTTCACCGTTTGTCTCGTCTTTGTGGTCATTTTCCTTTTATTCCCACCAGCTTCTGTTCACCGCAGTTTTCGAATTTAACTTTTAGTTTAAATAGTTTTTTTTTTCATGACTGGGAAGAGATTCTGCGTGTAAGTTGCCGTCATATTAGTGCTGAAGGTGAAAGCAATTTGGTTCCTCTCAGTTTATTCTCCCTCCTTCTCCTTTCATTCTTCCTGCTAAATCTCTTGGTCTTTTGTTTTGCTGCGGCGTTTTGTGGTTTCTGTGTTTCCCCGTGTGTTTATATTGCTCAGACAAGAGGAACACAATCAGTTGACACGTGATTTGGTTCCCCTCTCTCCTCCTCTGTCTTCCTCAGGCATCACCAGCACCAACATCATCATCGGGGCCATCACCGGCTCCATCCTCTTTCTCGCCTTGATTCTGGCCGTCACGGCCTGGTGCTACAAGTGAGTGTCCACACAGACTGAGTGATCCTTTAGGACATGCACAATTTCATGGAAAAGTGCTGTAATAAAGATTCTGTTCTCTTCACAGGAGCTACAAAAAGAGGCGTTACGTTGAGTCTGAGGTTCACCGAAGATTCTGCCGGTTTGCTCCTTTTAAGACCCTTTCTCGCGTGTATTAAAGGCAGTGCTGGGGCTTGTTGGAGTGTTTTTTTAAATGGCAACAATATTTTTTATGCTACTTGATATCCAAGTTAAATTTTCTATTACCAAAGCTTCTCTTCATATTTAGGCTTAAAACCCAGTCTGTTGTTTTGAATAAATAGCTTTGAAATGCAAATTTTTAGGGGGTCAAATAAAAAAAAATACATGGTTGTAATTAAAAAAAAACTGTACATGTAAGATACAAGTTCATTTTGTTTTTGTCCAACTTTTGTAGTTTAGTCATGTAAAAGCTAAAAAAAATTCCATCCATTCTCAAGTTATTTTGAACTTTTTAAAGCAATTTGAGCATTTTTGTTTGTAATTCTGCTACAAATGTTTTAAGTTTCTTCAACTTTTTTTGCACAAAAATGGCATTTAAAAGAAACTGAAGATCTTTATGTAATGGTGTTTCACCAGATGTAACATCAGGGAGTTTTTATTTTTAAAAATCTTTAAACTTTGGATTTTATGCTGATGTAAACATTGCGTTTTAGATCTTTCATAGATGAACACAAACTTTAAAGCTTTCAAAGCTGCTTTTGAGAAAGTATCTGCTTTAATACTAGTCACTAGACAAGTTTTTAACCCCGGCTCAGATTTTTAATGATCAGCTACATATTCAGGAGACTCAGCTGTTCGTTTGATTTTCGACCTTGCAGCTTCTTCGATATAGCTGACCAGCCCTCCAGCTCTGCTTTAGTCTGCTTCAGGTCTGATCTGACTGACAGACGCTTCTCTGTAAGCCTCAGAGAATCTCTTTCCTCCTCAGTCCCCCTCACATGTGAAGTTCCCCATGGATCCATTCTTGGCCCTTTTTATTTTCAGTCTATGCTCCCCTTAGGCTCTGTTTTTAGAAAATGTATCATCTGTTATGCAGACGACACTCGGCTCTACCTTCAGTTGAAGCGCCGTCATTCTTTTTCACTAAAACCACTGCTTGACTGCCTCACTGGGGTACAAAGTAAAAACTTGAACAGCTTTAAACCTTCTAAATTTTAATGAGGACAAAAGTGAAGTTATTTTCGGTCCCGGTGCTTCTCCTACAGATCTGATAAAAGTAGATGAGTAAATAATTGCTGATTTTTAGTAACACATACAGATCTTATTGGTTACAATTACATAAAATTAACACAAAAATAAATCTGATGGCTGTACAGCCTGAAGATGTGCTAAGAAAATACAAGTGAGCAAATTAACTAAACATAAACTTGACACTAGTTACATTATTTTGTTAATTATCAGCATTTACTAATGTATATGAACAAAAGACAGATTTCTGGTAAGTCAATAAAAATACTCCTTTCAGTGGATGTTCAATTTACTGTGTGAGAAATCTGTGATGACTTCATCTGCATGTGCCGTTTTATTCCCTGTTATGTTATTTCTACAGCATCTAAAGTCGTTCCTCTGTATTTACAGACAAATCCCCCCAGGTGACTATGTCACCAAGCCGGGGGACGCAGACTCTTTTTACAGTGACATGCCTCCGGGCGTCAGCACCAACTCTGGCTGCAGCTCCAAGAAGAGGTCAGCCTGTCTGTCCCACCTGCAGATTTGCACGCTGTCCTTCACTCCCTCCTTCCCATCCATTTCTCAGCACATCTCAGTGTTTGGCTTCAGGTGTGCCATTTCGTCATCACTCATTTGTATGCCAGAAACTGTATGCAAGTGTGTGAATGGGTTGCATTGTTTAAGTCAATGACGTAGATCTCTTCTCAGATCAAGCTTTGCAACTATCATAACTTTTGACTCTGAATATCAAAATAAACAAAATGTGTGAACATTTTGGCACTGAGGACTTGAGTGGCTTATGGTGCTTTTCCCACTCAATTCCTTACATCTTGACATATTCAGCAAAAATGATAATGTATCATGGCTCCTGCGTCTTCATCGCCGCCATTTACCTTCCACTTGTTCCTCCAAACGCCGTAGACACGACAAACGGTTAATAAGCGTTGATAAACTGTTTTGTTGTTGCTGTAGATCTAACGGTCTGTCTCATTCGTGGAGCGAGAGAATCCCAGATGCCAAACACATCACTGACATCTGTGAAAATGGGAGGCCGCGAAGCAACTCGTGGCAAGGTAACGCACAGCTTATGCAGCGCGTGACGAGTTGGTTGTGCATCTATTACACAACACAGATATCAGAATATCACTGAGCAACCTGTCATTGCTGTAAATTGAATCAACAGGGCATAACATCTTTATAGAAGCCAAGTTTGTCAGTAAAATTAAATGCATTAAATCCATCTAGTATCACCCGCTGCCTTTCACACCAAAGTTTTAGACTGAGGTCATCTTATCTGAAGAAATGACAAAGTTGCAGCCATTTTGGTCATATCTCAAACAAAGCATTCTTGAACGGATGTTGCTCAATTCATTAGAGCTCAGATTGAGTGTTGTGAATCACTCTCAGCTACTACCACGTCAAACTTTAGATCAATATTGGTCAAACTAATTGAGCTATAGCCATTTTGTGTTTGCTAAGTTTGATCAGCTGTGATGGCCATCTTGAAATGAATTGACTCCAAAAGTTAATCACCTATAGAGTTAAATCCACTTATTACTTTCAGAATGTTCCATTCAAATTTCTCCATTGTTTTGAGAGATATTTTGTTAACAAACTAAGTTAAAGATGATTAAAAGCTAATTTTGCTACTGTACTGCATGGTCTCTGTCTTTAGGAAACAAACACTGTAGCTCTATTTTCTTAGATCATTACCCTGATTCATACTTTCTCGTGCACATGAATGTTTGAAAGTAAAATGTGATCAATTTCTCTTTCTCTTCAGGAAACCTGAGCGGTAATCGGAAGAAGCTGAAAGGGAAGAAGTTCCGCGCTCGCTCCAACTCCACAGAGTACGTTTCTAACCCTCGTGTTTGTGCACAAAATCTGTGACTTGTTTTAAACAAATGCTTCAAGGGTTTTATCAAATATTAAGTTTTATATTCTCTGTCAACAAATCCACTGAAAAGACCTAAACTGTTTATGAGACACCCACTTGTACCCAACAAACATTTCAATCTATTCTTGTGGCACTGCTGTTGGTTTCTACTGAATAATTTTTTTTAATGAAATTATTACAAGTTTATTGTTTTGTTAAATTCAAAGGAACTACATGAGATGGTGATCAGTAGGAGGAAATACTGTAGCTATAGGAACTATTTAGTGAATTATTGGTGAGTCACAGTTTAAGACAAAAGAAACTACAGTGCCTGTGTTCAAGTTTCTCTGTGACAAAGATGTTTGATTTTGGACCCTGACAACTAAAATTGGTCTTTAAATAAGATTTGTTGGCAACACAAAAATAAATGGAGTTGTCTTTATCCTTTAAATGTGCAACATACTTACAGAAAACTTTTTTTTATCAGATACAGAACTGTGCAAAAGTCTAAAGACATTTTTCATGTCTTTATATTATATATATCAATCGGTGATCAATAGTTTTTCAGGCTCTTTGAAAAAATATATATTTGGCTGCTCTTTTTCTTTGCTACATTGTGTGAGGACATCTGGAGTGGTAGAGAAGTCTCTTAGACCAGTACAGGACATGAATGAGGAGTACAGGACATGTATGAGGACAGCAGGACATGTTAGACTGGTGCAAGACATGTATGAGGACAGCAAGACATGTATGAGGACAGCAGGACATGTTAGACTGGTGCAAGACATGTATGAGGACAGCAAGACATGTATGAAGACAGCAGGATATGTTAGATTGGTACAAAGAGGTCAAAAGTGTGTTAGGAATTTTTTTGTCTCCAAACCCTATGTATAATTTTTCACCACTTTTTATTGTCTGTCCAAACAGGTCTCACTTGTAAATGAGTCTTTGAGGCTCGATGTGACTTATCTGTTTAAATAAAGGTTGAATGAAAATACATGTATGAGGACAGCAGGACATGTATGAGGACAGCAGGACATGTATGAGGACAGCAGGACAGTGGTGAGATGCGCTGTAGGAGTGACAGATAGCTTCAAGGTGGAGGTGGGAGTGCATCAAGGATCAACTCTGAGCCCCTTCTTGTTTACTCTGGTGATGGACCAACTAACAGATGGACATGGAGGTAGTTGGAGTGAGGACAGAGGATGCAGAGAACAAAGTGAAATGGAGGAGGATGACTTGCTGTGGTGACCCCTGAAGAGGGAACAGCCGAAAGAAGAAAAAGGCGCCGGCTGCATTTCCCTCTCCTTTTCTGACCTTATACTTGACCTTTGTCATTGAATTTGTCCTGTTTCTTCAGCTCTTGGCTCAGTCAGGCATACAAAAGGCAGATAAACTTGGGGATGAAACAGCACTGTTTCAAAATGTAACTAACAACTCAGCAAAGAACCAAGTTGGGATTTGATCATTGGGCACTTTGTCAAAAACACAGTTTGTTCACGTCTAATGCAAATTTATTTAAAAAGAACGCCAAAGATGATGCAGTCTGACACATAAAATAGTATTTTAGCATCAACTGGGTAGAAAGACCTGCTCGCCTCCATTCTGGACCTGCCATAGTGTGTCTGTTTCTCCTTCCTGTTCCCCTCAAACCCCAGCTGGTTGAAGCAGATGATCGCTCGTCCTGAGCCTGGTTCTGCAGGAGGTTTCTCCCTGTTTAAAGAGAGTTTTTCCTTTCCACTGTTGCCTTTGTGCTTGCTCAGGATGGGAGAGTGTGACGAAGTGAAGATTCAACACATCCTGCTGCCTTCCTTAGACAGAGAACTTTAATAATTGTTTTTTAAGTATGTGAATTTTCTGTTCAGTGCCCTGAGATGACTTCTGTTGAAACGTGGTGCTATATAAATAAACTGAATTGAATTGAACTGAAGTGGAAACATGACACAAAGCAGATGATCAAATGAAGGATGGTGCATTTTTCAGATCTTGTCTCGGGTCTTTGCTGAACTTGTTTCTACCTATTAAAGACACAACTTTCAGATACTCATCTTCTGCTTTAGGTGGGGTTATATTTATTTATTTTTTGGTAGGACACTTATTTTTGTCCTCCACTTGTTTATTTTCTTATTCTTTTAAAGCACAATGTACCGTCATGGCCAGTTTTTAAAAAGCAGCCGAAGAAGAGTTAGGAAAGAGCTTCAGGAAGCCTGAAAAACCTGTTCAACCTCAAAAACATGATCATGACCACTTTAAAAGAGTACAAAAATGTTTGGCTGCTTGGAAGCAGGTCAGGAAGACTTCAGGGGTGGTTTGAAACTTTTGCACAGAACTGTAACATTGCATTGGTCACATGATGCAGAGATCCCATCAGATCTTCTTCTTCAGTGTGAACTTTGAGACTGAAAAGCATCACCTTGCTCTGAACTCGTGAATAAAGTAAAGTTTTTGCATCTCTGCCTGTCGTAGAGCCTCCTCCCAGCCTGCCGTGTCTTTGTTTGTTTGTTTGTTTTGCACATGAGGTAGTTCGTTGCGCTCCTGTTGTCGTTATGAGCATGTCACTGACTGAGATGTTCGGAATGACGTGACCAAAACTGAAACTCAGTTGTCTGTTTTCATCTGAAGCGCAGGTCTGTCCGCCATCGCCACCATTTCCTCTGCACCGTGTTCAGAATGTCTTTGCTCTGCTCTCCTAAAATATCTCCTCTCTTCACTCCTCCCTCACTTGCTAATTCGTGGAGAATTTCATTTCTTTCTTTCCTTTTTTCTCCCCCCTCCCTGTGTCCATGAACATCCCCTCCTCCCCCTCCCACAGGTATTTAACCCCTCGCTCCAAAACAGAGTTTTATGACGTAACTAAATGGGTAGAAGATGTGAATAAAAACACTCAAGGACCTTTCCTTAGGTATTACTCCAGTCCATGTCCTGTAACCCACACGCTTGTTTAAAGTTCCCTCACTTTTGGTTTGATTTTGGGTCAAATTTAGAGCCATCCTCAGCATCTGTCTGCAGATTTCAAGTTTGCAGTGACATAAGAAGCTGGCATGTTGCAGCGTGGGGGGTTTGAACCGAGCATCGAAGAACAAGGAAGAAAAATATGTTTCTTCTTTAATCGTTTCCAGTGTCAGAGAAGACAGTTCTTTTTTTTTTCAGCATCTTCTTTTTATTTGCAAATCTTTATTTTCTGCTTCACTGCACTGACGTGAAAAATAAACCAAAAAAAAGCTGTTACTGCCTGTGCCAGTGTTTTAACTTTAATTCAGTCGTTTTACTCCTAATTTTCCTTATTCCCTTCTTTTGCTCCCTTTCTTCCCTCAGTCTCTTGTTACCTCTGCATGTTCAGTGTTGTCCTTTCAGTAAGTGTTTGTCTATCTGCCCTGCGTCGCTCCACCTGTCACCTGCATCGGTTGGATGTCGGCGCTGAGCCACACGTTACGGCTGCGGCTCCGACATCGTCGCTGTGCTGTTGTGGGTCAAGTCTCCGGTCGTGCTGAAGGTCTATAGATCATTTAAAACTCAGGATTTCTTCACTCCTGACAATCCAACGATCAGCACTGAAATCTATAGACCTCCATTTTACATCTAAAAGATAGAGATGCTGCAAAAGAGCGGAGAGCTGTGGAGTCTGGTGGCAGAGCAAAACGGTGCAAACAGTTTCACTAAATCGGCTTGTCCTTTCAAAATAAAGCTAAGCTATAAAATCTGAATGTTTTACTGGATTATTCACTGTACATGCCTCCAAAAATGGGAGTTAATACATAACTCTGGAACAACCATCTCCACCCTGTCCAGCTCTTTTGCCAATCCAAGACCGTGCCACACTGCAAGTGGTTCGTACGTGCAAGCTGCCACACGAGGCAGCTTCTCTCTCCCTTTGGGTCTGCTGCATTGGTGCTTGAAAGTTTCTAAAGGTTTTACTAGTCTCTAGATTTCTGCTCCAACATGACCCAAAACATCACTGGATTTAGAAGTCCTAAAAGAAAACCAATCTGAGCAAATAAAACAGACGTTACAGTGGAGTCAATTATTAAGGAAAATAATATTCTTACTAAATATCTGTGAGTGGCAAAAGTATGCAAACTTTTTTCTTAACTTGATGTATTATTGCAATTTTTCCATTAGGGTGTTAGTGGGTTTTCTGTCTTTAATTCAGGCGCTTCCACAAAATATCCTGTAATATAAAGGAATATTTCAAAACTTTTGAAGTGGGGTTCTGTGGAGAGGTCATAAACCATTAATACCTTACCTGTTGCAGATAGCTTCTTTTTTTAACTTTTACACTAATGTTTGGGGCGCATGACAGCTTAGTGCATGGCTTTTCAACTGGTGGCCCGGGGGCCAAATCACGCCCACGGGTGAGCTCAGTTGGTCCACCAATGGGTTCACTTTAAAATAAATTTAAACCGTGAGACAAATTTACTTAGACCCCTGAGCTTTTGGCTTTCAGTAACTCAGCCCCGCTGAGCAATTTAGTTGAATAGACCTGGCTTAGTGGTTAACACTGTTGCCTCACAGCACAAAGGTCCTGGGTTCAATCCCCTGTTTGGACAATCTCTTTCAGAAGTTGTTTGCGTGGGTTTCTTCTGGGTACTCGTTTCCTCCAACAGTCCAGAAACATGCAGGTTTAGACTGGCTTCAGGCTTAGGCCTTTCTTAAAAAAAGAGATCTGTGATTTGCCTAGTTAAATAAAAGTTAAATAAAATAAAGAAATGATAATTTCACATCCAGTAGAAATGTTCCTTCATAAAGTTCCTCAGGCTGCATCAAAAGTACTTCAGTTAGCATCTTGTATATAAAGACCATTCTAAAACAATAGCTGTATTGCTCTTTAACCCTCTCCTAACTGTTCGCCTACAGATGTGTTCAGATTCCTCTTCACACATCAAAGGTTTAATTTGATCATTCTTACGAGGGCAGCCTGGCACGTTTGCTGCACACGTCTCACTGTTATTCCACTCAAAGTAACTGCTTGTGTACTTTTGCTACTCAGAAATCAGTTTGATTAAATCTGTTTTTGTAATTGCTCAATCCCGAGTACACTAGTTTTACTTAGTTATTTTAGTCTTATTCTACTTTTTTAATTTGTGTGAAAATACAATGATATTTTAGGTCATTTTTATACAGAAGCAAAGCAGACTTCATTAAAAAAAAAAAAAAAACTTTTAAGCTCCACTGTATGCTGCTCTTTCCCAGCTCTGGTCTGATTTGCCATCAGAATCATTTTACCATGATCACTGGTCCCTATTCATCTTGTAATCAAACTGACTGATCTAATCGATCAGCTGAAGCCTCCTTAAACAGCAGCTAAAGATAGATTTTTGTAACCAAGAACTCTGAAAGTTGCAGGAAACTGACAGGAGCTGGGAATGACCAAGGTTGCTCTTAAGAGCCAAGCTTCAGTAAAAAAAAATACAATTAAATAAACTTGTTTTGCCTGTGATGTACAATAAGAGCTTTTAAGAGCAACTTCTCTCTTCAAGAAGGTAAAACTGGAGCAGCTCAAGCAGGATGTTGCCCAAAGTCACAGATCTAATGTTAGCTCACCATTCTGCATCAGCCTCAATTATCTGTCTGTGTCTTTGGTCAGCTCAGTCGGTGCACCAGCTATGAAGGAGACAACGGAAGTTGAACAGTGTCACCTCCTCTCTTTTCTTCAGGACGCTGTCCCCTGCCAAGTCTCCCACCTCCTCCACAGGATCGATTGCATCCAGCAGGAGATACCCGTACCCAATGCCTCCGCTGCCAGACGACCAGAGGAAGGCCAACAGGCAGAGTGCCAGGGCAAGTACCAGTCAGAAACACTGCTGGTTTCAAACCAGACCGTAACACCAATAACTAACTGGAGACATGTCACTGTGGACTATCAGTTAGTTTGGGATTGATGGTTTCTTGTTGCACATGTAAAGCCAGAGTTTCTGTGAATTCAACAGCAGGTTGACTTGAAACACATCAGTGAAGGCTATTATAATACAGATCTGGGCTGGCAGGCCTCGGATTGACAAAGTCTTTCGGACGAAAGACAAAATGTTTCTCCCAAAAAGAAACTGTCCAGATGACCTGATTTAACCTTTTTTGTATTTATTTACCTGGATGATTGAGCTTACAAACCTTTTTTTTTTTTTTTTTCTGTTTTAAACCAGAAAGTGTTGCTTTGGAGGGACAGATACTTGTTTGTCCACAGTTTCAGATTAGATTAGTCAAAAAATTTGTTCCATAAATTTGACTCAAAACATATCAAATTAAAGATTGAACTACAGACAGATTTCCAACGTTTAAATGACCCTCTTTGGGAATAAAGTTAAACTAGACAGAATAAAGCATTGCAGACTTAAGTTTTTGTTAGAACTTTGTGATCAGAGACAGGTTGTTGTCCTAATTCATGCATTCCTGGAAAGACTGCATGTTCATCAATTTGCATGCCAAAGTTTTCAACTAAGATTTTTACACAATCTGCTAGTGTTCAGAGTACAGTAGAGACAATTTAGAGTTACCAATCAGCCTAACATGCATGTTATTGGTCTGTGGGAACTAGGGGTGCACAGATAAATCGTCCGGCCGATTTATCTGCCCTGATTTCCTTAATTTTGGGAAACTGGAAATCGGCCAATTCTTACATGAGAAACCGATTTTTGTAGTTTTAACAATAGTCTGAACTACTTTTGTATTTCAGAGCACTACCCCATGGCCAAGTTTGTATTGTTTCTAGGGTATTGTTCAGGGGTATGTGTTTCAACAAAATAATATTGGAAAATTGAAGGTGCATTGTGACCTTATAACACCTGAGAGTGTCGCTTATAAAACAAAATCGGTATCGGCCAAAATCGGAATCAACAGGTCAGATTTTTTTAGAAATCGGTGATCGGCCAGAAAGCTGCAATCAGTGCACCCCTAGAGTAAACTAAAACCCACACATGCACGGAGAGAACTCTCCACCCAGAAAGACCCCTGGATTCGATCCAGCGACCTTCTCGCTGAGAGGCAGCAGCTCTTCCAACTGATCCACCGTGCCACCCTGAGCTGAAGTCACACTTACAAAATGAGCTACTTCTGAATTATTTATCTTTTTTTTTTTTTTTCAATGGTCTTCAAGAAAAATTTGTTAAATGTGGCTCAATGCTGTCTAGCACCACCAAAAACCTAAATTAAATCTTATTTTTGGCAGTTTATCTGTTTGCCTCTTTCCCAATTTATGTTCTCACATATTGTGGTTTTTTTCCGTTTGTTTCACAGTTTAAAAGTTTGACTGAAATTTATCCCAAGGAACGATCAATAAGTGTTCATCTTCAACACACACCACTTATAGACAGGACTGCAGCGTTGAATCACTAAACATAGCAACAAAACAAACCACTACTTTAAATAAATCCTGACACTAACGTCCTAGCCTCAAAGAGAAACTCTTTTCTGCAAGTAGCTAAAGTTTGTCCCAAAAGTTTTTTACTTTACAGTGAGTGTTCAAACAGAACGTCGTTCAGTGTCACTGAAATGAGCTGCGCTCTGTTCAAGTTCATCAAATAAAACACTTATTAATGCACACAACCATTCACATTCCCACTCCTAGGGACAATTTAAAATTGCCAATTAACCTAACATGCATGGTTTTGAACTATACATGTTAAATATGTTGACAAAATCATTTTCTTTAGGGAGAATAAGGATTTAATTGGCTAGTGTTTTTTTATTTTAGTGTTATATTCGTAAAAATGTGCATGGGACTAGTAATATCAGTCACAAAGAGACTGAGTATTAAAAGACAGATGTCAAAATGTCTTTCCTTCCTTGTTTTGTCCTCCCCTCCCTTCTTCTCTGTCCAGCTGTGGGAGACGTCAATATAACCCCGATCTCGTCCAGTCTGCAAAAGCCCCGAAAGAGTTACACTTCTCTTCTTTTCTATGAATGGAAAACACAAGAAATGAAATAAAATGGACTCTTTAAAGCTACTAAAGAGAAAGCATGAGGCCTCCCCACCCCTCCACTGGACAGGAAGTAGAGGTTTTGTTCGATGGTACGAACACCTTCAACGTCGTCTCTTACAGACGGTGTCTCTACAGGATGATGAGGAGAAACCAGCTTGGCATCAATTTCAGAGCATCTGGAGCTCAGTGAGAGCTGTTCCTTTCAGCTTAAGCTTCGTAAACAGGACTTGACCCCCCCCCCCCCCACCACCACCACCACCACCACCACTCTAATGCCCCCCTACACACTCACTGTTACCATTCTTTAGCTCGGCTTTTGGCCAACCAGAGGAGGCAGGAAGAGCCCGATAGATTTTTCCAGACAGATTTATGTTGGGTCACTTCTGATGTGAATCACTGAACGTCTACCACTGTATGCATGAGACAGCCCTGTTTACCAGCTACTTCCCCCTACTGAGAAAAGCAGCAGTGCGATCTGAAAGAATAGCATGCGAGAGAGGAGCCATTTTATATTTTATGCAGGTTTAAAACCTCCTCTCCTCTGACAGTAACCCTTGCATCGCCATTTATACTACATAACTCTCAACTTGGACCCATCCTGCCCTCCTCTCCTTTTCCTCCTTTCCCGTTGCTCATGTGTTTGTGTAAATATGTACAGTAAAATACACAGAGTAAGTTTTTGCTCTTATTTTGAGACAAACCCATAGAGAGAATTCTCGGCTCTCTTTTTGTGTGTGTGTGCTGTAGACAGAAGCAGATGTCTGTAGATGCATATAAAAGAAACCCTGCAGCCATTCTTCTGTCAGGGCTAATATTTTTGTCTGCATTATTTTCCCTGCTCTGTGACATTTCTTCAGCAACAGCAGAATGTCTTTTTATATTCTCTTAGCGTCATTTCCATCCATGTCTGTGAGAAAATGTCTAGTAATGACTGTGACACACACCAGTATTATTTTAGCCAAGTTCAGATAGTTTTTACATGCCATTTCCAAGTGAGGTGAATGAGACATGCTTATAGTTATAGATGTAAATCATGTTGTTTTGGACATTTCCCAGTGTTTTGTATCTTATATTTAGGCGTTTGAGACCAGTGTGCTGCCGCTTTCACCGTGGCGGCGCAGGCGGCGCCTCAGTTCGTTTAAATGTGAGACGAAGAGGTGAACGTAGCTGCGAGATCTCGGACAGAATTTGGAAAAGGTGATTTTAAATGTGCATTTAGCTTTGATGATTTGAGATGTTTAGCCTTGTAAATGATGCTGTACAGTGCTTGCTGTTTGAGCTTATGGAGACCAACAGCATGAGAAATCTTTAACAAATTTAAATTTCATCTTTGGCTGGATACTGTGGGACCATAACCTGAAACGAGCATGTCACTGAAAAGTGTGTGTCCCTTCACTGCACTTTTTGTTTCAGATGGTTTGTGGACCACAGACTCTGCTTGTTGGGACTGTTTAGGGCAGGAAGTTGTTGGGGTTTAAATTAATGAGTGCAGTGTTGTGCTTTGGTTGTAATGGTGCAGCTATTTAGGGTGGTTTTCAGGCAGTAAGGATTCACTGTTCTACCTTGTGTAGAATATCATCTTAAAGGAATAGTTTTGAACTTCTGAAGTGGGGTTCTGCAGAAAGGTTGCGAACAAATATCTTACCTGTTGTAGATAGCTTTCTGAACAACCTTTGTTTGGAGAAATTGTTTTAATTCTGACAAGACTGATGGATTTCTGCCTTCTTACAAACAACTCCAAACTCAAAAATGTAAGTGCTAATTTAAAAAAATCTTAATTTTTTATAAATGTTTCATTACATAGGTATTTGTATAAAACTCTTATTTGCAAACACAAATGGCATAAGCAGCAGCACTTAGTGTGCAGCTTGGAACACTCCGTGCAGGAACATATTTCTAACAAAATAACCACGCTATGTGAACTCATTGACAATAATAAAAAAAAAAATTACATAAACTATGACATTTTTGAGACTGGAGTTTTTGAGACAAAAACAGTCCTTTGATCATATTAGCTTCTTTATTCTTGTTTAAAAAAAATGGTGTGTTTATTTTGTACTTGACCTTTGAACTTTCCAAGTTGGTGAAAAACAAATCGACTGGATTGTTGGATTCATGATTGAAATGCAGAAAGTCTGAGATTCCTGATCAGCCCCCGGCTCTACGCTGCTAACGCGTTTTAAGGCAAAGAACACAGGAAAAACATTTATCAGCCTGGATTGCTAATACTACTGGAACTGTTCGCAAATTCTACTGGTTTTCTGAGTTTCAATTGGAACAAAGTGAAGAGTAATCAACATCGTTCTGGGGTCTGAGATAAATGCAGCACTGATCTCTAGTTCTTTAAATAGAGGTAGTTCAAATGGATATCTACAGCAGTAAAAATATGAATCGCTCCTTACCTCTCCACTGAAAAGATATTAGCCATGCCTCTTTTTTTTAAAAACCCAAAGTGTGTCTTTGTGTTTCTGTTTCAGTGTGCACACTTTTCCATCTGTAATTCAAATATGCATTAGACCTGTATAGATAAAACTATCTTCACTATATTGGACTGATACTGCTTACAGTATGTTTTTTATGAAGTCCCTTTGTAACGTTCACATTGTTTCTCAGAAGTTATGTACAGCAGCTGTCCAACTGGTAATTAAGTGCTTTATTGTAATTATATTTTGTCTGAGGTTTTGCTGCAGTCTTTTTCCTGGTGTTCCCTGAAGAGCTGCTGCGTCGTTTCAACAGGATGGTACTGTGCTACAGAGAGACGTTTGTTCTGGTGTCTTGGACTTTGCATTGCACAACATTCTGAGCACTGTCCACGAGGGATGGGACCATGCAGGCTGCAGAGATATGCGGAAATCCTCCCGACGTCTCTGCTGAATCTGCCTGCACATACAGCTGCACTGACCACTCTGGTTAATGTCCCTACAGATGAGCGTTCTGCCTTCGTCTCCGGTTGGAAACTTGAATGTATTTGTGTACTCTCTCTCTCTCGTCCTGCCACTCATCGGCCCTCGACTCCAGGAACGCTGCAGATTTTTATTTTTTTTTACTTTTACCTGTGTGCTGTACGGACTATTGATGCAAAAATCAGCCCAGTTATTTTTTCTCATAATCATTCAGTATTGTAATATATTTAATATAAAATAAAAATTTCATCAACACATTTGTTATATTTTATGTGTATTTTACAACATTTTAACACACTTTACAAAAATGCATTATACATACACAAAGTGTCTTTCATTCCAAGTTAACGAGCGGTCAGTTTGACTCGAACTTCTTTTTATGGACCTGAGCGTCCGGCAACGTGATAAAAAGGTCCCAGCGAAGCCAGCAGGTTTCCATCGCAGTCATTCTTTCTCTCAGCGTGAATCTTCCCATCTTCAAAGTTCAAATACTTCGTACACCAGTCACTTGTTACCATGCACTGCACGTGTCAGATGTTGTCCAGGTATTTTTGATTGTTCGTGCGAGTGGTATCGAAGTTCCTGCAGCTTCTCTTGGTGGGTGGCTTGAGTTTCCACAGTGGCCTGCTCATCGAGCGACTGTCGAATGCTCATCTTCAGCTGGTCGACACCGAACCCAGTGATGGCAGAAACGGGCACCACGTGTCTGAAGGTCAGGTAATTGTTCGGTATCATGTCATCAGGCAGCAAATCCACAAACTCTGCAGAAAATAAAGAACAGCAGAGCTAACGTCTGAACACAATCCAGTGTGTAAATCTTTTCTCGAGACTAGTGCTGCTGATTTAGTTCATGTTGCTGTGTTCTGTTCATTCGTCCTCATCTGCTCACACAGACTCATGTTCGTGCTGCTGTTCAGCGCATTGATTTTAGTTAACGTTTTTCTTAGTGCATAGCTTAGATCTTATTACAGTTTTTCTTTTACATTTTATACTTTTGTTGGGTGTAACTGGGACCCTGTGTACACAATTTAGATCCACCACATGTACCACATATGACAAACTTTTTGGACTAGTGCTGATCAACACCTCCGATACTGAGTAAAATTCAGGCTGGTATCGGTGATATCGATACCGATACTAGTACTTTGTGCAAATACACCTAATGTGTCTGGTAAACGCCCCCCCAAAAAAGAAAGCTGTGTACAGTATAGCAAATTAAAGCTGCAAAAAGAATACGACGTCAAAGTAATTTTTTAACTTGGGAGTATATTGAGGTAGTGGCCTCGTTTACAATATAGATGAGCTTATACAACAGAAAATAACAGAGGACACGTGAAAATGGTGTTTCAAACGCAAAAATAAGAAGGAAAATCATAACTAAAATATATTTTAAAATATCTATTAAATAATATATTTTTAAGATGTATTTTTATCCATATTTTGTAGTACCGTATATATTTTTCAGAGTTCACCAAGGTTGTTTGATCGCCATTTCTCTTTAAAATTTGATGACACCTGGTCCATGTAATCCACTTTAAATGATCAATTCTTTAAGAAACCTTCCTTGAATAAATCTTTTTTGCCCATGTGAGATTAACTCAGTGATACGCATATAATTACTCCAAAATGAACTCATGCAACTATTTGTTGAAGCATTAATTTATTTATTTCATAACCATATGTATTCATCTGAACAACTCTGACCAGCTGCAACAGTTTTTAGCACAGCTTGAAGCTCCACATATCCTCCCTCTGTACTTGGATAGTCCTGCAGCCCTGAAGAACTCCTCCAGAGCCTGTCTTGCCCTACCAGACTGACTGACTGAGCATGAGCAGCGTGCCGCTCCGCTTACATGCACTTACACAGGCGGAAGAAAAAGTAGTTCCCACCAACTGCGTATCATTTAGACAAGGTCTCAATAGTTTAGTTACTTTCCACTATGTTCCTGTTAATGATATGCATTACCTGAAATGACTGAAGTATCAAAAGTACCGAAAGTTAGATTTAAGAATCGATTCCAGGACGTGGAGTGGTGGTATCGATATTTTATCGATTTGCACATAACTTTTGGTTCAAAGTTTAACTCAGTTTTCTTCAATGCAGACAAAAACGTCTACAATCTAATTCCCTGCTGAATCACAAAAACACACTAATATGAATCTACAAAACATATCATATAAATATAAAACAGCTGATTTTTTTATTTTATTTTATAGAATGTCTTCGCATCCTACGCGTTTGGATGAAATGTGAAGTGCAAAGGGGCTTTCACTGAGTTACAACCTACATCTTTGCCACTAGATGTCAGTGCATCCACTGCTCCTATAGGGAAATCAAGTTGTTACAATCACGTGACTGCTCGATTCAAAACCTCCCTGGCAAGCAGAAAAACATGCACGTTTTCTTTGCTAATTTCAACAACTATGTCCAGTCCTGCACTGTGATTGGGTGTGCACTGCAAATAGGTGGGAAAAGGGGAGTAGAATTGTCTGGCTCCGTAACACCAAGTCCAAACGACCTAGATAAGTGATCCAGTGATAAGTGACTGGGCGAATAATGGATTCCGAGTAACGAGGCTCTCGTTAATTGTTGGCTGTAAGCTTTCAGACAGCCAGCGTATGCTCGTGTGTGAAAACGAGCGCTTCTGTTTACAGACTTAGATCTTCTCAGTAAAGCAGCGTTTCACAGTCCTGGTCCTTTTGACACTCCAACCCCGATCCTTTATGTTTTACATGTGTCTCTGATTCAAATGAATCAAATATCTCATCACCTTGTCATAGACTTGAGCAGAAATGTAATAATGAACTATAAAATATTGTGTGATAAAGCAGGGAAACGTTTCAAACTTGTAGGACTGTGGGAACCAAAGATCAGTAGGAAAAACAACACAAAACTGTAGTTTAGGTGCTCAAGTTAAATAAAACAGGTTCTTGGTTTTGTGTGCAGGGCTAAATTTGTTACGTTACAAATCGACCAGTAAGTTCAACATTAACAAATAAAAATCACCTTCTGGGTTTTGTAGTTGTTCTTTCAGCTCAGACAGTTTGTCTTCAGCGCCAGGCAGGTCCATTTTATTGACCACCAACAATGCAGGCTTTGACAGAAGCTCCTCTTTGTACAACTCCAACTCCTTCAGGGAGAAGTGAGAGAGGAGAAGACGACGGGGACAATTTAGGAAGCGGGGGGAAAAAAAAAGGTTGTTACAAGGTCCGTAAGTTTATATTTGATGACAAAGAAAACGAAGCAACAAGAATCAAAAAGAATGTTACATCACGATTAAACGGAAGCGTTTTATAGCATGAGCCTAACCTTGGTGAGAAGTTGCACAGCTTCGAAGGCTGACCTAAAAGGCGTTTTACTTGCCAGCTGAAAACCGCCGACATCCACCTGCAATCACACAAATGACCCAAAACAATCACAACAGGCTGTTTTCAAGAGGTTGAACCCAGCACATTCAGACATATTTAAGCGTCTGTCATTTCTGTCACTACAAACCACAAATAACAGCTGCTTGGTCCTCTCCACGTGCTTCAGGAATTTGTGGCCCATGCCTTTGTTCATGTGAGCCCCCTCGATCAACCCTGGGAGATCGGCAGCAGAGATCTATAGAAAGAAAAACCATTAAAACACAAATAAATGAAGGAAACTGACAAAGAATAAACTACGTTGAGGTATTCAGTTGCATTCCCATACTTGCTTATGATCTGGATATATTAGTTTACCAATCTCAGGCTTCAAAGTTGTGACTGCAAAATACACAAAAAAGGGATTTAGAAACGGGAGAATGACTGAGCTCCGACATGCTGTTTTATTACCGTATGTTCTTACAAGCATAGCTGGCAATCTGAGGTGTGGCATTAGACAAGGCTGTGAGGAGAGATGACTTCCCTGCATTTGGAAACCTGATGGTGATTTAACAAAATACAATCAACAAACATCAGCTGGTACCTGAGGTTTTAGCTGAAATCAGCTTGTTCAGGTGTATTTTTTGCTCTTACCCCACGAAGCCCAAATCGGCAATAAGTTTGAGGTCCAGCCTGATGTGTTTAGCCTTGCCTTTCTTAGGCTGAAACTCGGAGTCAAAAGTGCCTCCAGCTCCTCCTTTTACCACCATCACACGATCACCCAGAGCATTGAGATCACCTTGTGGAAACCCGAGAAACACGTTTTACTCGAATCCGAAACAAACACTTCAGTGCTACTAATGAATAAAGTATTAATGATTTCTGACATACCAATTATTTTGCCATCATCTGTGGTCACAGTGATTCCAACAGGAGCCAAAATCTCCTTGTCGCTCCCTTTCACTCCCTTCAAAGCTCGGATACTGCGAACAAAATCCAAACATGTCTAACGAAGAAAACCACTCGACGTTCTCCGACAAGTGCAATGAATGTGAGTAAATGAGCAGCGAAATGTAACGGCTGTCTTTGTAGCACCCACCTGCTGTTTTCTCCGCATCCAGCTATGCATCGTTTCAGCGGGTAGGTGTCCTTGATCTTCTTTAGAGTCATGTTATGTGCCGCCACTACCCAAACATCGCCACCGTTCCCTCCTTTCCCTCCGAGACGAGGCAAACCCATTCCGCCGCTGCCTCCACGAACGTACAGACGAAGATTATCTATAAATTTTCCATACTGTAAAGAGGGGGGAGTCATCAGTCATGAAAGTGCTTGGATCTATTTATGGTACTCATAAATGTATTCAAGTCCTTTCAGGTAGGACACCACGCAGCTTTCCTAATGTTTAAATTATTCACTTAAGGTCCAACACCCAGCATTATAGTCCCAAGTGATCTGAGGGGGTAATCACTGTCACAGAATATGATTCAACAAGTTTTGGACCACAAACGCCATTTTACTACCTGATCATGACACTTAACTATCAATAGAGTTACTAGTACCTCAATATGATGCATTGCAAAAAATCTGCATAATGTAATGTAATTGAGCATCCATATATATATATATATATATATATATATATATATATATATATAAAGATGTATATTTGGGTGTATATTGTCTTTTCACAACTAGAATGTGTAAAAATATTATTTTCCAGGTAATTTTACCCAAATTAAATCTACACTGAAACGTAATAGGATAAATTATATAGTTTGTGATTCTATGAGAAAATGTGATTTGTTCTGTAAAGGCTTCCGTTGGCAGACCAAATATATTGTTAAACTAAGCAATTAAAATATGAAATCATAATCTAAAAAACTCCAGCCTTCGTATACATTAATTCAAGATATTTTATGTTTTTTTTACGTATGTCAAAACGAATAATACGACGGTGCTTTCGTAGAATAAAAACTAACGTTTCCAAACAGTCCATCAATGTTTTAAGGCAACAATCTTTCTAATCGTTGTCTTCACAACTAATCATGTCAAATAGTTTAAACCATTCTATTCGCTGATTTAGTTTAACGTTGCAAATCTGTTGAAAATATATTTTTTATTTACCTTTCGGAAGCAAATCCGACTGATGTGGACCATTTTAAAACACGTTTATGTCCACTTTTCTTGTTTATCACCAATGCTAACTGTTAGCTCGCATGTGGAGTAAAGGACGGAGCGGAGAACCGGAAGTGGATAATTCTTTCCACTCATTGGATAAAAAAATAAAAGGCGGGACTTTATTGAAATAAACTGTTGTGATTGGGTACTGAGACTTAAGCGTCACTCCCATAGAAAACATGGCCTTTGTCGAACAGAAAAAAATGACTTCTGTTTTTGATAATAATCCACCGATCCTCATACACATGGGCACTTTTATTAAACCAAATTTAATAATTTATTGTTAAAGGATTAGAAACAGCTTTGAAAACCGCTAATTATTAATCAGATCATAAAAACGAACAGAACAAAAATATATACAAAATCTGAACATAAACAGGGACCAATGCAGACATGTTCCTGTTTTTAGTTTTATACATTTGTCTTGGAATCTAGCTGTTTTTTTGTTTTTGTTACCTTTTTCCTTTTAGCCATCCTATTTGTTAAAAAAAAAAAAAAAAAAAACTGTAGTATGAGTTTTTATAACTGCTTATCAATCAACCTTTATTTATACAGGTAAATCCCATTGAGCCTCGAGGACTCATTTACAAGAGAGACCTGATTTCAACAAAGAAAGATGACAACAATGGACAACAGCAACAACAATAAGCAGTTATAAAAACTCATACTACAGTTTTTTTTTTTTTTTTTTGTTTGTTATTTTTTAACAAATAGGATGGCTAAAAGGAAAAAGGTAACAAAACCAAAAAAACAGCTAGATTCCAAGACAAATGTATAAAACTAAAAACAGGAACATGTCTGCATTGGACCCTGCCAGGAGTCCAACAGATTCTTAAAGCCACTTAGAGAGGTCAAGGTCGAGAGCTTCAAATCTTTTTGTAAGATATTCCAGGAAACAGGAGCAGAGTAGGAGAAGGCCCTTTTGCCTAGTTCAGTCCTCACTGAGGGAACACTGCAGGTAATAATGTCCTGAGAGCGCACTCCGTAGCTGCACTCACGCAGAGACATGTAGGAGGAGATGTATGAAGGCAACAGACCAAGAAGTGATTTAAAGATGAAAATGTACCAGTGAGAGAGTCTGCGTGAAGTTAATGATGTCCAGTTAACCAGTGAATACAGGGTGCAGTGGTGGGTACGATAATCACAGCCAGTTATGAATCTTAGTGCACCATGATAGACAGCATCCAACATCTGCAGGGTTCTTGTAGGAGCGTTCATGTAAATAATATCACCAAAATAAATTGAGGGAAGGAAAGTCTGTTGTCCATTGTTGTCATCTTTCTTTGTTGAAATCAGGTCTCTCTTGTAAATGAGTCCTCGAGGCTCAATGGGATTTACCTGTATAAATAAAGGTTGATAAAGTTGTGTCAAGTCAACGAGTGCATGTCTTATAGCCTTGGGTTTATACAAAAGAGTGCGTGTTTTTAAGATGTATAATAAGTTTGATATCAAAATCCACGTTACATAATATTTTATCAAATAAAAACTATATTTATTTTTAATTAAACCAGAAAATGTTGCATTTTCCAATATAATGCACTCTGAACAATAAGTGTTGAATGATTTTGCTGAAATTTGCAAAGAAGGTAAAACTGCATCATAAAACATAAGAGAAGCCAAAAATACTAAAATGGAAGCCTAAAGCTAAAAGTAGTTAAAGGTTAGCTAAAAGTAACATAATGGTATGGGGTGCTGTTTGTAAAGTTACACAGTCAAAAATTAACAGGAGTATTTTGGTTTATTTAGCCTTTAATAATAAGAAAAAAAAATTTTTTTTTCAAAGTCATATTTCACCATGTTATTCATATATTTATTGGTTAGTTAAAGGTTGAATGAATTTATAAATGTCATAGTTCCAAACTAAATATTTAATTTACAAGCTAAATATCTAGTTTCCAAACTAAATACTTGACTTGCAGGTTAAATATTTAGTTAGTAAACTAAAAATGTAGGCGTAAATAAATATTTAGTTTAAAACTATGACATTTATAAATGTCTGAATAACATGGTGAAAATATGACAAAACATTTTTTTTCTTATTAAAGGCTAAATAAACCAAAAATATTGCTGTTAATTTTTGACTGTGTAACTTTACAAACGGCACCTCATAGAATGGTAGCCTAAAGCTAAAGGTATCCTGATTCATTCATTCAACCTTTATTTAGGTTGTAGTCTATTGAACTTCAAGGACTCATTTACAAGAGAGACCTGTTTTTGAACAAAAACACAGATGAGGTACAGACAACAATAGACAGTCATGCAAATGAAAAGTAGAAGAAATTAAATAAAAACAAAACAGAAACAGTTACATTATGAAGCTATGTAAAATACTAAAAACTAATGTAGCTGTTTTTGTCTCGGTTTTTAGATCATTTATTTTATTTACTTTTCATAGATGCTTTTATGATTGTCTGTAGGCCTCATCTGCGGTTTTTGTTTAAAACAGCTCTCTTAAATGAGTCTGCGACTCAATGTGATGACCTGTATAAATAAAGGTTGAATGAACACTGTTAACGAGGCAGGAGGGACTGTAGAGGCTTTGGAGAGTTTATATATTTTAAAATATATATATTTGTAGAGACAAAGCAGTGGTCTGGTTGTGGACAGTGTCAGTGTCCAGCAGTGTGTCAGCAGCGCTGTGAGGATGCTGCTGCTGATGATGCTGCTGATGCTGCTGCTGCTGCTGATGAGATGCTATGATCTCGCTCTCCGTGAACGCGCCTCTCGCGCGCACCGACATGCGCACGTGACGAGAAGAAGCGACGCAGGATGCTGCTCGACTCCTTTCAGTACTCCGACACCGACAAACTGAGACGATCTCCTTTTAGAGGCGAAACTTTCCTGATCACACCTGAACGCACCGGCTCTGTTCGGCTCTAACGGCACTGAGGTGAGCGCCTGCGTGCGTGTGCGCGTGATGACGAGGGTTGGCTTTTATGTCATTCAAGACCTCAGACAGTTAGTTGGTGGGTCCTCCCCCCGCTCCATGTCTATTTATACGGTTTAAACGCCGCCGTGGCTCATGAGAGCAGGAGTCGACTGGGGGACAGAGAGATCTCAGCACGGTAAGAGCTCCTGGTCCTGCAGCTTATTTGTGATGGATTTGAGCTTCCACTATACGAATGATGCAATGATGGAAACTTACTGGCTGTGGCAGCATGTGGTTCTTGTTCGAGCTGAGCTGCACGGAGTCCAGAAAAGTGATGCAATATTAAACCTGCGTGGGTCTGCGAGGATGCTGTGGCTGATGATGATGATGGTGATGCTCTGCATCCTTCAGCCTAATTTTGTAACCAACCAGAAATCTGCTCCTTGCAAATGATCCCAATAAGTTCCAAAGAGATGTAGCTAAGAAAATTAACATGATAAATATCACCTGATTTTTTTTCCCTCAAAGAGTGGTTCAGAAGAATAATACAAAGTTTAAGTTTGCCACATTTCCCACACAAAAGCACACCTTGCAAAATTACAGGTGTTAAAGAGCAGCAAGACTGGACAACAAATAAAAAGACCTATGTCAACTGACAGACCGTTCTGTTATGATGTTGGCTTTTACTGTCCATTTATTTTTCTACTTGGTAAAAATTTGTCTACATGTACACAAACCTAGTTTTTACTTAAATGTGAAACAAGTTTTAAAAAACGTTTTAATAATATTTTTAAAATTGAGAATAAATGTTCTCTTGAGCTCAGTTATGCGAGTTAAAACATTTGAAAAGTGAACACGGATGCCGACAGGACAGATGTTGCATGTTTTTGTAAACGACGGTTTAAGGTGTTTGGTGCAATATGTAAACAACCCAGTTTTCTCCATTGGCTCTCTGTCAAATTCAAAAGAAAGTTTAAAAGTTTACCTTTAACATACAAAGCGCTCAACAACCAAGCTACATCCTACTTTAATTTATGGTAATTCAATTCAGTTTATTTATATAGCTCCAAGTCGCAACAGAAGCCGTCTCAGGATACTGTGCAAAAACATTCACATACATAAAAAAACAAATTAGTAAAAGTTCTCTATCTAAGGAAGCCAGCAGATTGTGTTGAATCTTAACGTCATCGCAGTCTCTCATCCTGAGCAAGCACAAAGGCAACAGTGGAAAGGAAAAACTCCCTTTTAACAGGAAGAAACCTCCAGCAGAGCCAGGCTCAGGACGAGCGGCCATCTGCTTCGACCAGCTGGGGTTTGAGACAACAGGAAGGAGAAACAAACAAACACAGAATGGCAGGTCCAGGTGTAGCTTATAATGGAAGAAAGACATAAAAACATGTTACAGATAGAAATAATTACAAACACAAACAGGTAGAGCAAGTAAGACAGCAGCAGAGTGAGGAAATATGGTCGATTTGTCCTCCAGCAGTCTAAGCCTATAGCAGCACCACTAAAGGATAGCTCAGGAAACCCAAGCCAACCCTAACTATTGGATTGATCAAAAAGGAAAGACTTAAGCCTAATCTTAGAAGTAGACAATGTGTCAGCCTTAAAAAAAAAGAGCACTAGCAATAGTCCAGCCTAGACGTGATAAATGCATGGACCAGTTTTTCTGCATCATTTTTGGACAAGATGTTTCTGATATTATGCAGGTGGAGGAAACCGGTCCTGGTATATTAAAGACCATACTGTTTTTTACTTTTTCCTAACAGAACCCTTCACTGTTAGACTGTAGGCTTACTTGTGGTTCCTAAAGTTTCTAAAAGTAAAATCGGAGACAGAGAGTCCAGTTATCAGGCTTCTTTTTTGTGGAACCAACGTTCAGTTTCTGCCCATGAAACTAACTAGTGCTTAGTGTATATTTAGTTGATGTTTTTCTTAGTTCATATCTTAGATGTTATTACTGTTTTTCTTATACATTTTATTGTTGGATGTAACTGGGACCCTGTGTACATAATTTCGCTCCACCACATGTACCACATGAGATGCGAATGACAATAAAGAAACTCTGACTCTGAAAACTCTCTACTTTTAGGCATTAACTTTTGTTTTTTTTATAAACCCTAGTGTTGGCTTCGGTTTTCTGAGTTCTGCTGTTATTAGATTGCTGGAGAAAAAACTGATCACATCTGTTCACTCTGCTGCTGTCTTTGCTCTATTGTTCATGTTTGTATTTTTAATAGTATTTACCATTAACACACTTTTTTCTTTGTCTTTTTTCCATTGAAACTACACCTGGACCAGCGATTCTGTGTTTGTCTGTCTTTTTCCTGTCCTCTCAAACCCCAACCAGTCGAGACAGATGGCCGCCCATCCCGAGCCTGGTTCAGGTTTTGCTGGAGGTTTCTTCCTGTGAAAAGGGAGTCATTCCTTTCCACTGTCACCAATGTGCTGCTCAGGATGGGAGATTATGACAAAGTGAAGTTTCAATGCAATCGTCTGGCTTTCTTAGACATCTTTTACTAAGTGGCATTCATAATGTATGTGAATGATTTGTACAGTACCCTAAAATGACTTTGTTGTGACGCTATAATACTGAGACCAAAAGATAAAGATGGAAGGCTGGAGTTTTCATGTTTAACAAGAGAATAACTTGTTTCCATAAAATATATGGACTATATAACCACCAGTTATTTTACTATTTTGACCAGTTTTGTATGGCATCAGGTATAAGAATGTATAAACTAAAAGACTTTTACAGCCAGGTTTTTCAAATGTGACCAGTGGCATGGAAATACCAATGCTAGCCTGCCAACTGGGGGCAAGTTATGCTCCCAACTGGGCATGCAATGTGTGGAATCCTTTTGCTTTGACCGAAAAGTGTAAACAAGTCGACACAGACAAGTGACTGGCTTACAGACACAGGTCAGACAGGAGGGGGCGGGGGGTATGCTCATGATGTGAGACAAACCTCATTATAACAGTTTAGAGTTCTAAAGAAAACTAGCTTAAGTTTTAGGGTGTAAGACCAATCTTGTATGAGCAGTGTTTTGGTTGGTATAAAAATAGGGCAGGGGGAAAATGTTTGCAGCATCGGTGGGTAAGTTCTTTTGTTTTTGGCGGGAGATATTGTGAGTGCTGGTGGTCTGCCAGCGTGCCAGGACCACATTTTCACCCTGCTGCCACTGAAAGGAAAAGGGGCGGCAAAGACATAAACAGGCCCAGTAGGATTAGGGCCCACTCGGAGGAATGATCAGGGGGGATTTGCTGCCCAGTGGGCACACAATGGCAGTGCCTTGTTACACACAAACGCACACCCCACATTCTGTGCGGCAACATTTCACAACAGATCCAAGCCTACATAAATCTTTAAAGAACATCCTTTTGTTTGGGGAGCAGAGTGGCAGGTTACCAGAAACTAGCAGCCTCGCCACAGGACATCAGCGAAGGGAAAAGTGGGTGTGTGGACGCTGGTGTAAAAAAAAAAATCTGCAGGCACGTTGTGTTGTGGCGGGGGGTGTGTCCACGTGTCTGAAACCCCAGACAGACAGGGAGGGCCATGGCTGTGTGTGGAAGCACAATAACAACATGAATGAAGGGTTTTCTACCCCTCACTGTGTATGTTTCTGAATCAGCTGGTGATGTGGATGGAGACAGGATCTGAGCTGAGACAACAACACTGGCGGACAAAAACATTTAGCCAGTTTGAACCTGTTCAAACTGTCCCAGGAGCAGGGAGATAACAGAAGAACAAAGCACTGATGAGCATTAAAGGTTGCAGAAATTTCTATAACGTTCTTCGTGCTTCTGTTGTTGTGTTCCTCCACAGTGCTGGCTCTGGCCCAGGCTACAGCCATGCCTCTTCTGGAAGAAACTACTCTACCGCAAGAGCACCTGCCTACTCTACCTGTAGTTATCATAGGTAAACTTTAATGCCTTGCTCACCTAACTTGCAATAGTTATGCATCTATCCTCAAACCTGGAATTTTGTACACATTTTTAAGGCCTAAAACTCTTCTCTGCTGATCTTGATTTTGCTATTCTGGAATTTCCTTTGTTTTCAGGCAATGGACCATCGGGTATTTGTCTGTCTTACCTGCTGAGTGGATACAAGCCTTACTTAGACACTGCAACTGTTCACCCAAATTCCATTCTGTACAGAAAACTACAGGAGTCCAAACACCTCCCCATCACCGAACAGGTAACAAAACACTTTCAGGTTCACCCCGGGTCTACCTAAACTTGACACTAAGGGCTAACAATAGCTATTTGTTTTGGCAGGATTTGGAATATTTGAGTGAAGGTCTTGAAGGGCGATCAAGGAATCCCGTGGCTGTGCTATTTGATACATTGCTACACCCCAATGCTGACTTTGGGTACGAATTCCCTCCTGTACTTCAGTGGAAGAGAGATAAGAAGCAGCACATCCCACATCTGGTTCTGGGGAAGGGAACACCAGGGGGGGCTTGGCATGTAAGCTGCAGCTTCGTGTGTAACAGCCTTCATCTGGTAACTTATGTCAACCAGTTTCTTCTCTTCTCTGACACCGTTTGGTCTACCTGTTTAGGCAATGGAGGGCTCCATGTTGACAATTAGTCTTGGCATCTGGATGGAGCTTCCAGGGGTCAACTACAGAGACTTGACCAATGGGAAACACAGGTAAAATGACTAACTCAAAAGTCAAATTTTTACAAGATTATTTCTATACGACAGCTTCTTATCCTCTCGTCTTCTTTTAAGGGACGTAACAAGTGACAGAGCCACCCCAGAGGAGATTTCATCCTATTATCGTGGCTATGTGAAGCTAAAGGGTCTCCAAAAAAGTTTTGTTGACAACACCTACGTGACCTCTGTCCAGAAACTTTGCCGGGGGCATGAGGTGAAAGTTTTGGAAAAAGAGCACACTGATAAAGTAGACAAAGGGTTGGGAAATGGTGGGAATGGGAGCCTTGAGGAAAATGGAAAGGAGTGCGTAAAGAATGTTGGAGGGGGAACTCTATGGGAAGTAAGGGGATATCAGCAGGTTCAGAATGAAACTCATGTCCCCTTCTCTCTGTTTGCTGAGAACCTAGTCCTAGCCACTGGTGCATCCGATTCACCAGTTCGGTTAGGTGTAGAGGGGGAGGATCTACCTTTTGTTTTCCACAGCATCTCCAACCTGGGCTTGGTTCTGAGCCAGAGAAAACTGGATGTGAACTCTGATCCGGTTTTAATTGTAGGTGCTGGTTTAAGTGCTGCGGATGCAGTTCTGTGTGCCTGTAACAGCAACATTAGAGTGCTGCATGTTTTCCGAAAGAGTCTAGACAACCCAGACCTCATCTTCAAGCAGCTGCCCAAGACCCTGTACCCAGAATACCACAAAGTGCACAACATGATGTGTTCACAGACCTACACCAACGTGACTCCTTCATCTGCTCCTAACAGACCCCAGGCAGTCAGCATCGCCTCCTCAGTTTGTGCCAAGATGTGCCCCAAACCCCAGCTTCCTGCAGGTAACACCACAGCAGGTGCCAAAGTCAGCCTCTTCCCTGACTACACCAGTTTCCCCGAACATTGTGTGGTGTCATTCCAGTCGGATATGAAGTGTTTGCTGCAGGGGAAAAACTCCCTGAAGGCAGTCAAGGTCTCCATGGCCCTGGTTCTGATTGGGACCAACCCAAACTTGTTTTTCTTGAAAGGCCAGGGACAGTACTTGGGTCAGGATCCAACAAGGCCAATATCCTGCAAGCAAAACCTCATCGACATCAACCCTTACACCTTTGAGTGCATCAAGGAGCCCGGGCTGTTCGCCATGGGACCGTTGGTGGGAGACAACTTTGTTCGCTTTTTAAAAGGCGGAGCGTTGGGGATCACTTCCTGTCTGCTGAAGAGGCTCAAGAAAAGAGAAAAACTCATCACTAATGGAGGGAATGACTTCATCTGAAAACTTAATGAAGAAAGTTTGGTCTTAGGACACATATTTACGGATTTGAAATACTTTGATAGAATAAAATGGGAAAACGAGATTTTAAAATACTTTCATCATGAATGCATCATTTTATCATCTATGCGTAGGCAGTTTAGAAAACCAAAAAGACAATGGATCTACACTAGTTTCTAAAGAAAGAAAAACAGCTTTCAGGAGTTTTGACTGACTTTATATGAAGTCGCCTTGTATCTAAGCTACTGTGTGCCAATGTTTCATGGTCAGTTTGTAATCTGTAACAGTACAAGACCGTCAGGGTTATTTATTTATTCATTCACCACCATGTGTCTTCAATGGATCGAACATTTAGTTGCTTCAAATTCTTTTTAGCTCGGTCTTTCAGGGGTAATGACACTGTTTCTGTCCATTCAGTTCATAGTTTTAGTCAAATAGATGTTGCTTATACACCACCACTTAGAAAACATATCAACTTACTGTAACTCAATCATATTTCAGAAACTTTGAGCCACGATTTTACTGCTAAAATGTCTTAATCTTTTGGATTACTGAGCCAGTCCTCTTTTTATTCCAAATATCCTCAGTTTTAGCTGCTATTGTAGACAGCTGAAGCCATTTTAGTGAATTTGATCAATTTTTTTAGTAATATTGCTACTAAAATGGATTTCTATGCAAATGCTATCACTTACTGACCCAAATGTATTCTTGCATTTCTATTTACAATTTTACTGTCTGGGTCTAAGTATGCTAGGATAAAATGTGGCAAACAATGGGAAATTCTGGTGTTTAACTGTATTTGTTGTTGGAATGTGAAATTGATCAGATAAAGTTTGTCACGAGTAATTTAACAAGTAATGCGGACTTGCAAGATGCAATTCTACTAAACTTTTGTCTGTACATTCTGCCACGCTCAAATTAACAATAAACAGCCACAACTGTTCTGTCAAGTGCCAAAAACAGCTTAGATATTCAATTCTAATTCAAAAATACTTTATTAAGCCCATAGGGAAATTATATGTTGTGGTAACTCTTCATCCTGGTTTCATTAAAGAGTTGTTCTAGATGCTGATGGCTGTGGGCAGGAAGGATCTCTTGTAGCGGTCTGTCCTACAACTGATTTGAAGAAGCCTCTGACTGAAGACACTTTGATGATGTCTGATGAAGAGGATGCTGAGGGTCGTCTATAATGTTCTTCATTATATGAAGAATCCTTCTTTGAACAATCATCTCCAAAGGTTCTAGAGAAGTCCCCAGAACTGAGCCAGCTGGGGTGACAGTGATGTCACATTTTTCATGTCTGCAACTTTCTTTTCTTACAGTCACTGAAGTGTCTACAAAAACTGCAACGCCAGATTCAAATTTTTTTTAAATGTGTGCCACCCATTCAAAGCTTTATTTACTTACAGTGGAACTATCATTTGTTGTATCATAAACAGTATAACTCAATGCTGGAAGTACTATATTATTAGACAACATGCTGTAGTCGTATTACTTTTCCCCCTAACATAAGAACCTCACCCACTAATTAATATTTAGGTTCGTTAATCATATCTGACTGGGGAGTGATGTTAATTTCAGCCAAGTTATAAATCTTGACGTTTCATTGTCTTTTCACTGAGTTTTGAATGTTTTCATATAAAATATTGAATACAGTATATGCATGTAGGCATGAGCCATAGCCTGGCAGACAGCTGCTGATAAAAGAAAACAGACAAGTGCTGCAAAGTGAGGGAAGAGTTGGACCGGACGATTTGAACAGTCAAAAGCAGAAACGAGACCTTTTCATTGTTTTGACTTTAAAGATAAAAAAAAATACAAGTTGATCAATCCAGCCTCAATAGCATGATCTTTAGTTTGTGATATGCATTTAAAATTTTGTGCTGATTTTTGTTGATTTTTAAGCAGCAACACCTTTAAGCTAAATAATATAATTTCAACATAGACTATAACATTTAAATCCAGATATTTTAACTCCCTTTGCTACTCTACAGCCTTTAGTAAAAAAAAAAAAAAAAGAGACTACTGCTGAACTTATACTGAATGTCAACTCGACCTGAATATGAAAGGTGAGCTTTAACTATCTGCACAGAATGGTTAATGAGTATTGCATGATGATGATGATGATGACTTATTTGACCTCTTTTGGAAATAGAAAAGTGCCTGACTGGTTGAAAGAAAAGAAACCATAACCCTTGAACCCCAAGTTTTCCCTAAAGCGGGAACAAACTGGGCTTTTCCTTCAAAATAAAACAAAAGCTGCATTAAGCAAGTATCTCACACAACAGAAGAGTTTCTATGGTTTTGTATTGTCTATTTTTTATTAATGACAAATAAAACTTTGACAAAAAAAAAAAAACACGGAGCATCAGCTTGATTTCTTACATTGCCAGCTGTCAGTGACTTTATTTGGAAAAGTTTTATAAAGAAACAGGAAGAACAGAAAAACAAACTGCTAAAATACAACCAGAAACATTTGACGTTCTTTTAAACTGGGTTTCCCATCTCAAGAAATATTCTCACTGGATTGGAGGCAGTCAGGGTGAAGGCATTTCATCTTCTCTTGGTTAGTTTGGTTGGGTTGTACCTAAAAACACACACAGAGTGCATCTGAAACATCTGCCCCTGTCAGGACGGGCTTTTAACATTCCTCATGGATCACTCCTCAATGTGCTCAGGGGCATTTTGAAACAATAAAAACAGCTCAAATGAAGCACCCTAAAAACACGGGTGATGTTTGAACAGCTCAAAGCAAACATGCTTCCTATAAACCACGTCTGGTACCTTGTTCTGATCCAACAAAAAAGAAAAAAAAAATCTAACTGGACTATTTTCTTAGCAGCAGAGTCTGTTCCCCCAGTTATGTCCGACTGGCTGAGCATGACTCAGTGATCAAACACCTCGGCCTCGACACACACGCAAAAATCGATCTAAGACCGTCTCTTTTCTGCTTAGTCAAAGAAAACACAGCTTACATCACCGCCGCTACCCTGACAACTGCTCTGACGCAAGACATCCTCTGCTGTGATTGGTTAAAATGATGCTGAAGTGGTCGTTTAGTAACAGTTTTCATGTAAACATGTTAAAAGCACCTCACGATAATGGCTGTTTTGAGAGAAATATACTATTTTACTATATTTTTACCAGCCTTTTAGGATGCTGCGGGGGGTTAAGTTACGAATAAGTTTCTCAACGTACCTGAACAAGTCGTCTCCTATGGCCTCGTCCCGTCTGTTCTCATGCTCCTCCTGAAAAAGCACAATTTTAAATCACAAATTCCAAATGGTGAGAAAATACTAAAGAAGCTAAGTAAAAATACCTCAGCTGCTTCTTTCAGCCACTCGTCCAGATCAGAGTTTTTGCCCCTGTTGTGGACCAGAAGATTAGCTCTGCCGATGATGTGTGGGAAACCATCTGCACCTGGAACACGTTTCTGTCCCACACACATGCAGGGATGTTCATGATAAACATTTAAAACTAAAGAGCATAAATACATGCGCTCGGCTTGGTGAAAGTTATTCAAATGTGGATATTTATTCTATAGATGTATGTGTAAGATAAAAAAAAATGTTAGAAAAAGTCATTTTAATTCACAGCTTCAAAACTTCAGTTCTATGATCTTAACTTTTAAATCATCCTCAGCCTGAGATGTCATTTTCTTTAAAATCCAATAATAATAATAATAATAAAAATATGAGCATATTTTAACTTTTTGAATATAAAAATATCAACAGTTTTGTTAGTACAGGTGTTATGTTTAAAGCATTGTGGTTAAACTAAAGAGCCTGCGGTGCGTTGGTGTCTGACCTTGTGGAAACATTTGAAGTTCCTTCCATGTCCGTTCTGCTGAATCTGTTTGGGTTTGGTTTTTGGAGGAGAAGTGGCTGTGAGAGATCTAAACTCCACCAACACCAGCTTCTTCGGCAGGTCTTCATCAATCTTTGACTCCTGAACATGAACAAATCATTGGACTTTGGTCTTTATAACAGCACTGCTGCTAAGCTGTGGACGGTTTGAATACAATGTGAACGTTTGTTTAGACTGATTATTCTTAGTCTTCCCCTTTTTAACAGCAGGATGTTGCTGTCAAATCTTCATTTCTGTAACTGCAAAATAAACTAAGAAACCCATTTGTCCCGCTCTGTAGATTCATGTTTCATCTCTACAAGAAGAATACAGAAATCACTAAATTTTCATCTTCACGGCTGCTATTCTTGAGTTCAAGCTTTAAAAGAAACAAAGAACCAAAGATTACTTCCAAGAATTTCAAAATGTGTTTTTTTTTTGCAGTGCTTTAACTATATCAATGTTTCTGCACCCAAACCTAAATCAAGTTTGTCCCTCAGTTCCTTTAAGGATCTAAGTAACTGAGTTATTCACCTGCTGTGACACATTCCACAGTTATTTACTATTATAGAATTCAACATAAATTAAATTGTACCTGAACATTTTACTATTTGTCAAATATATTCAGTTATTACCAACAGCTGTGGCAAAATGTAAGTGATAATTTAATTGCCTCTGTGTGTATTTGTTTGTTAGCAAAATACAATGCAATAAAAGAATAAATAAATAATGAAACTTTTGAAAAGGAACTTTGGAGTCAACCCAATTCAAGATGGCCGCTACAGCTAATCAAACTGAGCAACCATAAAATACCTCTAACTCATTTTACACATAATGAAATAAATTTCAGTGTGGTCGTAGCGGAGAGCCACTCCTATCATATACAGTAGTCCCTCGCTACTTCGCAGTTCGTTTATCGTGGACTTGTTCTATCGTAGTTTTTCTAAATAAGATTGGACATGACACACAAATGGCTGATTGATGGATGAGCTGCACGATTGGCATGGAATTTTTATTTAAAATAAATTATTTTAAATTATTTAGCACCTCCTGCTGCAGCTGTTCACCATTCAGAGTGGAGAAGTGGGCGTGGCCAAGGGTGCTTACAGGTGGCAAAGAGCAGAGGAGGCAGAGAGCTGAAATCATGACATTCTGTGCTCCTTTAGAGCGTTTAGAAACATTGTTTAGAATATTGCAAGAGTGTGGGAAGAGTTTT